TTTTAATATTAGTAAGATGGGGCTTGCCAACATGTGCTTGCTGAATGAGGTAGGTCTCCATTACCTCATTCTACACGACCCTTTTACAGATTTTATCCAACAAAGCTTTTGAAGATATATTTATCTTTAACCATGTGAGAAATCTCACTTACGTTAATGATTGTGCAACAATAAAAAGTAAATATAAAAGCAATTAGTAGTCCGCTGACAGTTATAAACCTTCTTCACTTCCCTTCCCTGCTTTTTCTTAGGAACTCATTACTCTAATGTTTATTTTCACTTTTGTAAATCTGTGAGTGCAAAGCTAAAGACAGAGGTGTAAGAGCAGGCACAATCTGAATGGGTGGGTGGGTACAGGATCTTTACATATGTATACATGACAGGAGCCACAGTACGAATGCCAGTAGGAGAGTTACAGCTCTGCTAGGTACCCAGTAAATCTGCATCTGGACAGTAAGGAAGGATTATGCAGCTTTGAGAAACCACCATGATCCTCAATCTGCCACTCCTCTCTTCTTCCGACCCCTTCTTAAAAACTCTCTTGTAACCTCTCATCAGGTTTACCCATTCTGTTTTTCAGGTCATTAAGTGTAGAAGTGTCAAGATGTCTGTGGGGTTCTGACTTCCTGCAGGCAACTTCCAGTTAATGCTACCTGTCTAACTGGGATAATGTAACCTCCAGAATCCAGTATGAATGACCTGTGTGAAGGAGAAGAGAGGGGGGACAGATGAGGATACAAGGATCCTTATACAAGGAAACGAGTCTGAGAAAAAGATCTGGATGGTTTTCATAGGGATTTCTTTTGCAGTTATGTTCTGGTTGACAGCCCAAGCCAGAGGAAGAACGTTTCTGAACATACAGCAAGAATTGCCCTTCGCTCAGAGTAAAAGGAGAGCTCGCAGATCTGCCAATCCTCACATCTCACAGGTTTCTCCTGTACTTGCTATAGGTAACCTGACTTGTGCTTGTAATTAACTCTGTATCAGATGCTACTCGTCCTGATCTCCCTGGGGCGCCCCACAGCTCAGGTCTCCAGAGAGCAGAGCTGGTCTGTGCAACTCCTGACCTCCAGACTCCGTTTCTGCCAGCCCCAAGAGTTCTTTGGTGCCCCACCTATCCCCATTATCCTTGACAGAGCATCTACAGTCTAACCTCTCTCCTCTGGACATCAGATCAGCATCCGCTGCAGCAGCAAAGCCTTAAGTCAGCATATCGTAAAGAAACATCACAAACATTACCTTGACATTTTAGTGTACACAGTTAACATTTACATTTCACACCACCTCCTATGTAAAGTCCCTCTCTCCATGCCATCAATACACCACTTCTCTTAACCCCTCCCCACCCAACACTACAAGCCCCTTTTCTCAGGCAGGCTAACAAAACAGAAGATTTTTAGTGATTCTGAGCCCAGCCACTATGAAGACAGAAATGGTCAAAACCTGGTTAAACCCACAAAAATTAAAAGCAGACAAAATTCCCCAACCTTGAGAACATTTAAAACCCACCTGGGTCTTTCCCAAATACCCCAGAAATGCTTCACGCTCACAATGAGATGCTGTAGGCAATATTTCAGGGGCTACATTCAACATTTGCTATGCAGTATCTTTTGATGCTCCAGATACATCTTCCTAAGGGTTAATATACCAACACAGGAAGGAA